CCAAAAATGTAAGCTACATTTTGGGACGCCCCTAAACCGGTGGTATGCACCTAGACATTGAAAGGCAACATATGGAATCTACAAATATCTACAGAACTAAAGATGCATATGGGAAAAAACAATCAATATGGAAAGTTGAAAGCCACCTGGAAAGGCTACCAAAAGGTCAAAAGGCCTTGGAATGGCTCAAGGGCTTGAAACTAGGTTGGGTTGTGGAGGTAAGAGATGACCAGGGTGGCTGGGTCCTAAGAAAACCATAAGAAACGTGTAACACTTATGGTTTTGTTATGATTTTGATATAGTTTTGATATGATTTTGGTATGGCTTTCCTTTTCCGAAGGATGGAGGCAGGTTCCCCAAAGCCACCTGGAAAGGCTACCAAAAGGTCAAACTTTGGAGTTGCCCAAAGGCTTGAGAAAAAAACAAATCATACCAAAACAATAACGAAACCATAAAAAAATCATACTTTACATGCATGCTTCTGTCACTGGCTTGGAAGTCTTAAAAATAGCAGAAAGAAAAGGAAGACGGTCTAGAGGAAAAAGGTAAAACACAGAAAGGCGTCAAGAAAACGGAACCTCAAAAAATGTAGCTTACATTTATTCAAAAAATGTAACTTACATTTTTTAAGGTGTCCCTAAGAAAATGTAACTTACATTTTTTAAGCCCAAAGTTGCAAAAAATGTAGCTTACATTTAGACAGGTCCCCCCCCTTAGGGGTGGGGATCATACTATGCACATAATTGCTTTGTCAATGTCTCTATATACCAGCTCGGTCAATATGTACTTAGACATCCGGCATTTCAAGCAGAGTGAGTATATATATAGATACATGTAAATACAATGATGAGTGCCTTCATCGGCTGAGGATCAGATATCACTATATAGTCCGTCCAATGTGTTTTTCGGGTGCGACAACTATCGACAACTGCTTCCCCCCAAAAGCCCGTGAGCGCTTCGCAGATCACAATCATCCCCACAACAGGGCCCCCAGACGCGCACGGCACCGAACCATCGACCGGACGATGACGGTTCTGGAACGATGGAACGGTTCCGTTCAACCAAGGTCAATCCAAGAAGGTGGGACGTCCTGGTGCCATGCTTTGCCTTTTGGCCCATACCATGGGCGCCGAACGCGTGAATCAGCGCGTTCCGCGGCCGGTGGTCACTGACACAGAGATTGAAAGGAGGATGAAATGGGCTTCCGTCGGATCCAAACTGCGCGACAAAGCTCAGATTGTCACTGAGGTCCAGCCTCCTGCTGTGGTAGTGAGGCCTTGCAGGCCGATTGGTGCCCCACAAGCTGTGGAAAGGACGCTGGTAGCTGATGATAAGTGATGATGCGAGGAAAACCGCCGAAAGATTTCCAAAAGTCTCAAGGATGAGATTGGATCCAGGTGCTATTCTGGATCTTCTCTTCCGGGCTCTTGGCTTCCCAAGAGCCCGAATTCAGCGCCCCGCCGCAAGGAAGCCGGCCCGGCGTGCGCTGCCTCTCTTTTTGGGCTTTCAGTGGCAGACCTGGCAGTGGGAGGACAATGGCTTGAACACGACTGGACCTGAACATCAACAGGAACTGATTGGACTGCTTGGGTCTCTGAAGACTTTCGAGATACACCATGATACACCAAGATGGTATATATATATATACATATGTATGTATACATTGTTTGCTTTTCCGTTCCCGCATGGCTTGGCGAGAGGTGCCCACCCGCTGGCATTCACGCTAGATGGCAGCGGAAACCGGAGATAGGTCCTTTCGCTGCAACCGTGGCTGCTGTCCAGTCCCTGGCCCTGGGGCTTGTCGGCTTGTACATGCTTGATCATGCTTGTACCAATTTGACAAGATGAAACCAATCGCCCAGAAATGCTGGTGGACAACCCTTTAGGTGCCCAGTCCAACAGCGGTTTTAAGGGCCGAAAGGACTGGTGTGGAGCAGCTACGCCACTGCACCCAGCCAGATGCTGCATGCAACAGTGCGGAAAAAAACACATGCCATTTATCCTTTTGGCCGATGACCTTGAAAGGCTCGCATGCAAGATTGGTATCATTCTTGATCATGATTAGCATCGTAGGCTACACATGTCTATAGAATTCTATATAGATCCCCCATTGCTAGGGCCTGTAGATCGCATCGGTTCTCGCAGGGCAGATGTGGGCGCATGTGGCTTTGGGGCCCATCGAGGAAGAAGCACCTCCAGATACGACGACCACGCCTCCGCCCCCGACCTGGACGGGGCGATGGGTGGGTCAATCAGCGGAGCTGGAGACGCTGAAATCAACGTGGGATTAGGTGGGATTCAACCGAATTGGCTATGGTTTGATGATTGATATGATTGCGTCTTTGTTTTTGGTTACAGAACAAGTTCGATTGATGGAAGTCTAGGGTCTATTTTAGGTCTATGTCTCAGTGCTGAGAAGACGCCTTCAGAGCCCGGTAGATGCGAATGATGCGAGTCCTGCAGGACTGCGAACAACATGATCATGGCGACATGGCTTGGAAGGTTAGGCGGAGTAATTTCCTGAAGATGATCCTACTACTTCAGGAACCACGCAAGTCCCAAGGAGAAGGTGACGTGAGAGCAGTCTATAAGATGTGATGCTATTTAAATCCTTTTTATATAATCACTGAAGATCAGAGAGCACCACCATGAAAAGCCCACCCATTCCAGCATCCATATGTTTGGCGAATCCGCAGAAATGTTTGAGAACACTCTGCCACGGAACAGATGGAAGTGGCATCTTCATAGGCGGCACTTCCCAGCACCCTTGCACCCTGGAACTCATGGTTTTGTTTGCGTGAACAACATGGCGACTCTACAGTCTGGGTCTTATTTGACTTCTATTTGACTTCAATCCAGCCCTAGAACTAGAATGGTTGACTTATCCGCTCGAAGGGAAATTCTTTGTGCAATCCGTCGATTCGGTCAGCACCTATAGGTGATCATGATCGTGGCCATCAGTGTGGGCGGCTGCCTCTCCTGCATTTGCGTCGGCTTGTACCTCTATGTCCAACGAGAAAAGCCCCTTGCTGTGAACGTTTTTGGGCATCAGATGCAAGCAGATGGATGTCCACGATCGTCCGATGAACATAAAGGCACGTTTGACTCATGCAGAGGTGGCATCCCTTTGGAAGGTTTCATGGAGTTGAGTTGGCCATGGCCGTCCTACATTGTGTTGAATTGGACATCTGGTGAGCGGGGATTGGATGGAAGTTCCTGGTTGGATTTCATGGTTAATGCAGAACTTTTTGTCAACAGTATTTTCATAATATCATAAGCTACTGTATTATATATGGCAATTCACCTGCGTGCTGAGCAACTTGTTGGCATCTATATACTGCTTTCGGCGATGTGCGTGAGCGTTCAACGGGCAACGCCCCCAACCCCTTTCAAGATCGAAGGATATCACCCTTTGTGCTTTCTTGGCGCCATCCCCATCTCTCTGCCAGGTATGCTGTCTCCGTGGGCACCGAAGACCGTGAGGTGGTGGAACGCTCGGAGGGCGGCTACCGCACCAAGCGGAAGGTCATCCCGGGTCAGGCAGCGGAAGAATCAAAGCCCTCCAAGCCGTCCTGCCTGAGCAGATGTTTGGGAAGATGTTCCTAGAAAGACGAAAAGGTACATGTTGATGAGTGGGTGGTGACGGGTGGTGGAAGGAAGCTCACAAAAGGCGTGACTAGATAGATTCATGATATTCCTGTTTTTTTGAAAGAGTCTTTGGAGGCGTTGAGGCATTCTGCCTTGAAATATCTTGAAATCATCCGCCAAGTGTGTTGGAGGGGGGGTCTATTCCTATTCCTTTTGCGTTGCAGTGGCATTTCCAACAAGTGGATAGAAAGTAGCAACTTGTGTCTTTGTCCTGTTTTGTTGAGCTAGAAGCTCCTGCCAGCAATTACAAAGGGCCGGAGCAGAACTGATGGCAGCTGCAAGGCTGTCTCTTTGGGGTGGAAGATGGCAGCCAAGAAGAAAGGAAGTGCCAGAACGTGACATGTAGCAAAATGACAAGGTGCCGCATGAGCGCCGCCCACCCCAACCCGCGTGCCCCATAAAGGCGCTTGACGGGAGAAACTAACATGAAAAACCAACATGCTGTAGGAAGGCTTTGCTTCCCAAAAGATGTTCGATTATCTATGGTTTGACCTGCCAGTGCAGCAGCTCAGGTTACAATCGGCTGTGCCCGAAGAAGCAGATCCGCCGAATCGCACCCGTCTCGCAGGAGACGGGTGATCCCAACTAGACAGGGCTTATCAGGGCGGCTGGTGTTCTGCAGCTCGGTTTGTTTGAACAGCTTGTTCATCCGATTCAGCATGGGCAACTTTGGGACATTTCTGTGGCAACCTTTTCTTTTCCGTCGAGCTATTTGTGTCACTTGCCAGACATGAGAGTTAGGACGCCCAGCTCTCACTGGGACATCCCCCCCAACAGTGCCGGACCGTTTGGTCGCCCCCAGGAGAACTATGGGATGCTGGCGGTCGGCGCGCGGGTGCGGTTGATTGGCCTCTCCCAGGCGCACTTCAATGGCCTCGAAGGCTTCATCACAGGCGAGGATGGCAGGTGATGAAAATCTACATGAGTCACATGAGGTAGAAATCAGCGTGGTAGGCAAATGTGAGGATGTCATGATGTCACGGCCATGTATAACGTTCAGAATGTAGAATGCGGATATACTTTCACCTACTTGATCCTACTTGCAAATTGTGATGTCCGCTTAGGGTGCCTTTTATGTTAGCAAATGCAATCAACCGGCTCCAGGCTCCAGAGCCCGTTTTGTGGCCTGTGTTTGTTTTCCAAGGTCGGTGGTGAAGGGCTGGGGAAGCATGAACTGAAAGCAGTCGCCAGGAGGGCCGAACGAGAAAGGGCGTTACACGGTGGATGTCATCGTCGATGATGATGAGACGCATGGATTGAAGGATATCGATGAGGATATGACGGGATGGGATCCGGTCGGTGGGTACTGGACAGACCAAGATCTCAGAATATCTCAGGCCAAGAACTGTGAGAAACACATGGTGCAATTTTTGTGCTGTCGGCCTTGTCAGCCCCAGAAAGAGGACCTTCACCAGTGCGGAGTGGCAAGTCGTAATTCACCATACCTACCCCATAAAGATTTCCGCTCTAGTATACTGAGTATACCACTTCCATAGAGTCCAGGTCCAAACCTGGTATATACCAGTGGGAAGTCCTCCATTATAAGTGGCAGGTACCACCAATGCTTCTTGACTTCCCGAGTCCTAGCCACCTACTGAGGATGGTTCGGGAGATGCAAACCCTGAGCTTCAAAGCAGATGCTTTGGCTGCAGCCCACCAGACTCGCCACAGGCTTGAAGAGCCTAAACTAACCTCACCCGAGTCCGGGCAATCCTTTTTTTTTCAGGTGAAACCCTGTGTTTGTCACGCTCGGTCATGTTGTCACCACAAGTGATTAGTGAAGCCCAACTCGTGAGAGCCACAAGAGCCACGGCCCCTTCCAACATTGTGCTAAGCTCAGTTTGGGTGATCCACACTGGTTCGGCCACCAAGGATAACCTACTTGTGCTGCCACCTGAGCAGACCAACAGCAATCAGGTGGGCCTTGTGATAGGGGAGAGGTGGTCGGGAACAGCCACAGGCTCGTGACTACTGTATACATCTCCATGCCCTCCCTGAAAACAACCAAGAAAAGGCAGCTTCATGGAAGTCGGCAGGGGCGAATTGCTGTAATTCGTTGCCAACTAGGCACACATATTGCCATCAGCCCAGGTCAGCCAGTTTGTAGAAGAAAATTGCCAAAGCGCTGGTTGAATCCTTCTTCGCTAAGCAAAAGCTTTTAGCTTGGATCATGAAGCAGGTCCGGGTAGGTTCCCCATAATTTGCAGACTGTGGCCGGATGTGGTGAATCCTAGAGTGTGCACTGGCAGAGTGCATGGAGCGATCAGAAAGAGTAGGTGGAGAAGCCCTATGATAGTCCCTATGGTCCATTAGCAGTAGAAAGTATTCACATACGCTGGAGAATGTACTGATTTTTTTCACTCACTGTAGCCCTCTCGAGCTGACGACCACTGACCACGCCACGTGGAAGGCCTCGAATTTACCAGGGCGTGGGCCGAGCTCCTACCGTGGTGGGGCCTAGGTGGGGGGAGAGATGGTCACTGGGACACCTATGCCGTATGGTGGTTGAAGTGATTTAAAGTCTCTACTAAGACTAACTCTACTACAGTGAATATATGCTCCTAGTAGAGATGCCAGGAGCCCCTAGTAGCGTCTTTGCTCCTAGTAGCAATGCCAGGAGCCCCTAGTAGCGTCTTTGCTCCTAGTAGTAAGGCCAGGAGCCCCTAGTAGCGTCTTTGCTCCTAGGAGTAAGGCGCCCCTAGTCCTAGTAATAAGGCCAGGAGCCCCTAGTAGCGTCTTTTCTCCTAGCAGTAAGGCCAGGAGTCCCTAGTAGCGTCCTTGCTCCTAGTAGTAAGGCCAGGAGCCCCTAGTAGGTTCTTGTCACGTGGTTGCGATCTCCATTGTAGTGAAGTACTGTGACGTGAAGTATGCTAGAAGCTGGAAAGGATTCTTTTTGCTGCCGGTCCTCATGCCAGGTGCTGGTCATGCTTGCTGAGGCTTTTGTTGGTATTGAGCCCCAGTGATGTCATTGGAAGATATCAGAAAACCTATTCCTTTTAGGTGAGAGCAGATGAGAGCAGTAAGTATGTGTATATTATACAGTTCGGGGGTCTGATCCATTGACGAACACCGGTAGCACCTTCTAAGTTCTAAGCACCCAAAAATCACTGGCAAGGAAGTCCTGCCAGATTCGCGGGGACTGACACCACGGCCTCAGCTCGAGCGACCCGGCATTCCGGGATTCTGCAACGGTTTCCGCAAAGCCCCTACAAATTCTGGTCATGGAAAAACGGGAAGATCTGAAACCAGATGTTCTCCCGCCCTTGGTCCAGCCATGCCCGCCTTCAGTTACAGCTTATTGATGGACATGATTGATGGACAGGTCTTTGGATCTTTGGTGGCTGGACCGGGTTTCACTGCATCGCGTGAAAAAGACCGTGAGTTGTTCTTAATTGAGTTTGTGGATGGGCAAGGTCCTCGCCATGTGATCCATTGAATAATTGAATATGTATGAGCAGGGAATTGCCCCAGTTCGTCCAGAAAACGTCAAGCTGCAGCAGAAGATTGAGGAAATGCGTGGAAATGCAACCCTTTCTTGAAGCATAGATTGAAAGATAGCCACTGTAGACATGGACAACGTACGACAACGAATTTTGAGGGCATTTGGGACCGTAGCATGGCAATTCTCGGCTCAGATGAGTCTGCCCACCGGTGCGCTTCGCACTCTGAGGGCAGGTGCCTTGAGTTCTTCTTTGCATTCTCACCTAGCACCAGTGGAAGGACTCAGAACATGCTCACCGTGACCTTAAAGAATGGCAGTTTGGCCCGCATAGGCCGCAGGTGGAGCAAATGAACGATTCTGCTTGGCTTCCTTGCTGGGTAGCACATTGAACCACCGACATATGATTCTCCACAGGTGACAGGTGCCGAGAGCGCGAAGCCAGAACCAGCTTTGGACGGGCTCACTCGGAGAACAAGATGGAAGAACAGCACATGGAGCTCAAGAAATGCTTTTTCAATCAAGGGGCAAGAGAGTGACAGAGCAGATCAAGAGCAGGTTGTAGAGCTGTGTTGAAAATTCTGGAGCTTTTCCAGTGCCCTGAACAAGAAAAGACTTGCCATCCTGACATGGAAGACACATGCAAGTGACAAGTAGACACTCTTGTAGTAGTAGACATTGGGAAAGCCCAAGCCAGTTGTAGCCCTGTAGCCCACGCCTGGGGATGTCGGACGTCAGGTGCCATGCCTCCTCGTGTGGCAGAAGCTCAGGTGGGAGAAATATCTGGGCCTTGAAAGCGGACGAGCCAAGTGGACGGCTCTTCATTCTTTGACAGGGAACAGTTTTTCAAAAGAATCTGGAAACATGTGGAAATTCAGAAAAGCATCTCTGTGTGCCATGCACTAAAAGGGAAGGTCAAACATCCCTTTTAGTCGGCGCCGACTGGTCGGCATGCAGACGAACGTCGGGCCTCACCAGCATGGCCACATGACAGGTGTCGGGCCAAGTGCCGTCGTCGGCTCGAAGAAAAATGCCATGACGACATCGGCCGTGAAGCCGACAGAGGGTTTGGAATCCAGCCATGCGTCAGCAACTGCTCCCAACAACGGGATGTTTGTCTGCAGAATGTAAGACAATACGCAGAGATGGGCAGAGAATGGCAGAGATAAGCTAATCAACCCAATCTTTGGCATGTCGGAGCTGCCGCTTCAGAATGAAGCTGGTGCCATTGCCAAATAATTAAGAGGTTCCAACATTAACACCTGGAATGCGCCAACACACTAATAATATGTCAAATCAGACCTTTGCACTGGGAAGGCCAAGAGATTTGGACGCGTCTTGATTTTTCTACAGGGTTTGGCTGGGCTTCCCTTTTATTGTCAGCATACCCACATAATCTCAAAAGTATAGCAGTTGAGCCATGCCATGGCGTGGACCTTCACCCTGCTGGCGCTGGCCAATGCAGACCCGCGCTTGCAGGCGGAACCAAGGGCAACCATCAGCCACCTCTAGCAAGGTGGATCTTGATCTGCAGGAACCGAAACTGGCTATGGCCGAGACTCATCGAAACGCACCACCAAAGGCCTAGAACCTCAGTTCACATCGCCCGGAAGAGGAGGTTTCTTCACTTTGTATGTAGTTGCGCGCGGTTTCATTAGGGGTGCCCTGTGTTTTTGGATTGTTTCATGCAGGGGGCGGGGTGGGGCGGTCTTGACGTGCGATTGCCTCGAACGATATCTTCCTTGGCTTCAACTTTCAGATCAGATGTTGGCCACACGATCAATGTTTCTCGATTTCCTTAGCTGGAACTGCCACACTCCCTGGCAAGAAGCAACAAAGTGGTTTGCGGTCGGCTGGATGAGGAGAGAGAGAGAGAGAGAGCACCACGGAAAAGGTTGAAACTGAAAGTAGTTGCAGATATTTTTGGCACCACAGGACGGACAGCACAAAAAACAACTGTATATTTTTGGTTATTCTACACCCACGAACCTACACACTACCAGGGCTATACTGTATATATATATATATGTCTACTGTAAATTAGTTTTTAGTCCCCTAAATTGGAGCCACATTGACACACCAAAGTTCAAACAAAAGACAGGCTGTGTGAACCTGCTTGGGCATACAAGAGTCCCAGTTGCTGATCCATACCAATCAAATACTGTAACCACCTGTGTGCTTCACAGGTGCTTCCCAGTCTGAGAAAGTGAAAAATGAGAAAGACCCGACTGGATCAGAAACTCCAGGATCTGTCATTCAGTTACTTTCCCAAACTCGGAAACTTTGAGAACTCAATTTGGACAAGAACGCTACTAGGGGCTCCTGGCATCGCTACTCGGAACAAGGACGCTACTAGGAGCTTTTTCATGGGGTCTGTCGTTCGAAGAGGCACGCCTCATGGCGCTGGAGGCTTTCCTGGAACGCCCGGGCGCTGAGCGGCGCTGCGACTTGCCACGCTTGGATGGCACCCGGGTGGCTGAGGTTTGGGCATGGCGTGGTGTCGTTTGGCCACCGGTGTTAACAGGTATTGACTTCATTTAAACATGCCCCAAGAGAGAAAGATAGAGAGAGAGAGAGAGAAAGAATCCTTTCTTACCTCCAAGGGCAAACCGCCCTCCCCGCACAGGTGTCCCAGACCCTCCGTGGCCGGCCTGCCCTGCTGAAGTTCCCCAGGCTTGAAACCTGGGACCGGGCGCCTGGGCACTGCAGCTGAGACAGTAGATAACCAACAAAGGATACCAAAACTTACCAAAACCATGCAAAATCATCAAGCGGCAAGCGCCCTTTTGCACCTTTGAACCAAGATGAACCAAGGAAAACATGTTTTCCTTGGAACGATTTGACTTCCAAAAAGATTTGAAGATGGCGGGACCTCGTTGGCCCTGAGGATTCGAGTCGCCGGTGGGCCGCTTTGATCGACCATCATCCATGACGGTCAGTTGATATGTAATTCCTTCTGTTCTCTGTGGTGGACTACCACGGAGGCACCAAGGTCACATTTTCTTCGAGTGGGGTGCGAACCGCTTGAGTCATCCGAAGCTCAACGTGGGTTTGCTTCAACATGTCTCGTCTACACGCAGCCCCAGTGAGTCCCCCATCCAGATCCGCTACTCTCAGGAAAGCTTTCTCAAGGAATTTGGCGCGTACCGAGTGAAGACTAATAACGGCCTCCAGCATTTGCTTGAGCAATATTTTTCTTTGTCCATCATGCGCGAAGATGTCGGTGATTCCATGGAGAATCGGTGGCGACATGCTGAACAGTCAGAGCAAAGCTGCACCGCGGTGGAGTCAATGTAAGATGTACTGCAGGAGGTTTTCCAGTCAAATAGATGGCACAAGGATCCATCTCAACATCTCTGGGGGTGAGAGCCACAACCCCTCTGGAAAACGGACGCTTGAAAGCAACTCTTTCTCGTCTTAGTGCATTTGGCCAGTGTCGTCCAAAAGGTGGGGGCCTCGTATCCGACCTCTCCGTGGCACAACGATGGATGGATGGCCGTCGTGACGGCTGAACCAAGGTCACTTCGACTTTTTGCGCTCCAAGGAGGTGCTGGCCCTGAGTGCATACTTGGCACAAAACGCCTCAGAGACTCGCCATGGATGACTGGTCTCACTGCATTGCATGAGAAACTGGGTTTTGGAGCATGGGTAGAAGTAGTTATAGCATGTTATAGCCGAACCCTGGCTCTGGTGGGCAGGACGTTTGCTGGACTTAGCTCAGTTTAACTTGATCAGCGGTTTGTGCTTTTTTAGTGGCTGAACACCTGAAGACCCAGTGACAGTTCCACTGGTTTTGGCTGCTGCACCTTCCAGGAATGGAACCTTTTCTTTGCAGACATGGCCTATTCGTTGCAACGTTCCTCGCCGTGCAAAGGTGTAAATCGGAAGGGCCGTGCTTGGGAACTACAGGTGGTCAAGGCCTTTGAACTGTTCGTTGGCAGGTCACACCGTCACTACCGCTAGACAAATGGCTTCTCATCAACCACCGCATGGCGCACTATCACTACATGGTGCTACCTTTTGAACGATTTGTTTAAAGTTCTGTCAGTGAAGCATCGAAGGCCTCGCAAAGCAGTGCCAGCTCTCGCAGGACACGTGTGGCGCTCCCTGGGCGCTTCCCGCTTCCCGGCGCTCACGACGCGGGTGGATGCGCGACCCATCTTGTCGGTGGGCGTAAAGGCCGGGCTTCGGGTGGTGAAGATGATTGAACATGTTAGTGAGCTTTGGCTCATGCGAGTCAAAGCAATTGAAACCTGACAGAGCTGTTTGTTTCGAGTAGCATTTGCTAGTTTCAAGGATCTTCATTCCTCTCTCTGTTTTGCTGCTGCTAGTGTAGGAAATGTTTGGATCCCTCGGCAGTGGAGCACGGGCAACCAGACGCGAGGCCTCCTCCACGCGGAGTCACAAGCATGCAGAGACCTGGCAGCTTTTGCTGAGTGGGCGGAAGGTGCACCAGTCCAATTGGCACGGACGACCTGAGGAGCCCCAACCCATTGGATTTTTGACTGATCCATGACGTGTAAGCCACCCCGCCACCCCAGTCGTGACGCCATGCACAAGTGCGGAACAGGGCGGTCCAAGCTGCTTGAGGTTTGGGGGTGTAACAGATTTGGATCTTGAGCCCTAGTTGCTGCGAGGTCAGGTTGTCCCTCCAATCTCCTTGGAGGAATTAGCTGACATACTTGCAAGGTGGAGCATGCCAGCACATGCAAGCCGAAGAACCGCCATTCCCGAGATGTTTCCTTTAGTGGAGGTATTCAACAATTCAGCCTTCCTCTTTCCTGGGCTGTCTCCAGGCCTGGTGGCTGGCGAGCCCCAACTTTGACTTGGAACGTTTGGGGGATCCCTGCGACGCCCTGAGTGCTGCCACAGGAGACGCGATGCGTTGAGATCGCACTCTGACTCACAGGCAGTAGGACTATGTAGGACTCAGTTGACCATGTAGCCGAGAGTCTTGTCTTGACGGTGGGTGGGGCATGGAAAAAAGAACCACGCTTGCAGGAAACGGTGGCCCCTGCATTTTGCGCACTTGCATGTGTTGGTGCTTTTTACTACAAACAACATTGCTTGTGCACAACATTTGTCAGAGCAAGCGTGCAAGGGCCAAGAAGAAACCAGGTAGGTCACTTGAAGCCATCTCTGCAAGGAAACTCACCGCCCAGGGCCTCTGGCAAAGACTTGAGTCAGGCCCGGTTGTTGGACTGATGGTAGCAGAAGGTGTCTCGCTGGCCTAACATTGTGCTGGACAAACATTTGCAACCACCTGCAAGTCCTGTAGTTCACAGTTGCACTAGACACAGCTCTGGAGTTTTACTTTAGCTTTCCGTTCTTGTATGCACAAGTGTCGCTTGCCGGCTTTTTGTGCCCTTGCAACGGAACCAATGTGCGACAATGGCATGTTGTTTGGTTTGTTTGGCTGTTTGATTCATCCAACAGGAGCCCTGGCTTTGCGTGCAGCACCCGGGTGAGGCTGGCTTCTACAGCATGTCTACCAAGCTGCCATGAAGGATTGCGAGTGCAGAGAATTATGTCACGAATCATTTCAATGGTTGAGGATAGCATCATATATAGATGCTTTCGAATTACAGTAGCAGCAGCAGTAGTTCCACGGCTGCCAGTTGTACATTGGCAGACTTTTCTCCAGGCACTTTACTTTGGCAACAACTTCCCCCATGCCTCGTGGCTGCGTTGGGATGTGGGGGTGGTTGGCTCCAGCCATTTCCTCCGTCGCTAGACACAAATCAGGTGTTTGTCTTTCAGAATGCCCCTT